AACGAAACCAAGGAGCTGTCCATAAACTACGTAGGTAGGCCGTTTTTGAGAGGTTTTAGACTAATACAAAAATTAACCCTTTCCTGCCCATACAACACAGGTGTTTCGCAACTGAAAAACAATTACTATTAATTTTATTCAAAAACTTTTTTTAATGAATTCGATAGTTTTAGCCCCGTTTCTCGGAAAACCATTTTCCGGAGCACCACTTAAGGTATCTCGCGATCAGTATATTTTAGCTTGAAATCTCTCCAATCAATTCTCGATACATCTTTTAGTTACCGATTGAGAAAAAAATTACTAAATTTTTCTTTTTTGTTGTTTTTGTGCGTTTTGGGAAAGTACCTCTATCATTTTGTATAAGAAAACGGGGCATTTCTGTGGTGGGAAAAAAGTGATTTCCCTATCACAGATTTCAGTACCTAGCACTGAAAAAAAACCCGGACGGTACATCTATTTATGCTTTTAGATTTAGATTGGCAGTCCCATACAAACGTTTAAAAAATCATGGCCCATGCCGCGTTGCTTTCAGTGGTGTGGTACCCTCACAAAAATGTGCTATGTCATAAATGAAAGTAAAAAATATGGCAAGTGCATGTTATTATTGGTTGTCGATAGAGGCAAAAATCGTTGCAATCCACAATTGCAGCGATTAATTCCCTTTATACTTAGATAAGGTTTAGTTTTTCAGGTGGCTCGAAGCTGTTGACACAAGCAGTTGTGTTTTTTTTTATTTGGTGCGTGTCATGCGATAGTCTGTTTTCGATAGCAACTCATTAGGGACTGTTCATAAACTACGCAGGGTGGAGGGGGTTGGCAATCATCCACGGCCTTTACAAATTAAAAAAAAATGTATGGACAATTGTCTACGCAGGGGGAGGGGGCTCAAGAATCCCAAAAAAACTTCCTTCGTAGTTAATGAACAGCCACTTATTGCAGTGCTTGCTCATTTTTTGAATTTCGTTCGCTTTTGCTGTTAACCCGTTGGAAGCAAACAACTAGTGAAGATATCGGTGGAAATACAACTGACGATCAGATTCAGCTTGCCACATCGATCGGGGAAACCATCAATGGGAGACATTGCAAATTTTGTGAAATCGCTGGATTCGGACCCCACTCAGATGATCGCTACATATTGCATAGCGGAGGAAAAATCTATGGTGTAAAATGTTCAAATCAGACGATTCGATGCTTTGTTTGCTAAACAACCGTGAACAATTAACTTTCCAACTGTTCAGTACGTGAGAGTTTACGACCTACCATAAGAAGTCCCGGATAATCTAGTATTGGTGCTACGGAAGTACGGTGATGTAAAGCGTGTAGTACGGGAGCGATTTCCACACTCCAAAAAATATGCACGTCCGATCTACGTGAAAACATAGGTAGCTTTCGTCCATACTACTTTTCACGTAATATTTACGTTAATGTCATGTAGCCAAAAAATATTCCCATTTAGTGGTCAACTTGAACAGTACGGTAAATTTTACGTGATTTCCACTTAACTTACATTTACATGATATGTTTGTCAATTTCACTACCATCATGTAAAAATGGAAGTTGAAGTAATCGAAATAGCTACTTGATTTTTCACGTAGGTTGAACGTGTATACTTTGTAGAGTGTACATGCTTATCACATTCCTTTTTACGCGAAATTCCCGTAGTATCAACCGACATGAAAATCGAATGTTATCAAAATTGCATTTGACATTGGTCTGCGGCACGTGAAAATAATTGAAGTGGGGTGTTTAAGGGGTTACGTGATTTTTCACGTAGCATCAACGTGAATATTTTTTGGAGTGCAGCTACCTTTGGCTTCAATATACTTACAGTACAGACAAACAGACAAGCATTTAACGGTCAATTTAAAAGTATCTCAGTTGGTAGTACTGCCACCTATAGTCAATTCCCTTGCGTTCGACGTTTACACTCTACCCCCATCTGTTATCTTGCCGCCATCTGTACTACCCACCACAGTGTAGCGACGATGTTTTACAATGAGAAATATTCAATGTGTTATGTCTGTTTGTCTGTGCTTACAGGTGTGCGAAGATAAATGGATGTAAAAAAATAGATTCCCAACTCGTTGCATTTCCTCAATCGAAAGGGGAACATTCTACCAAGGGAACAAAAATGTGTGTTTCCTTTGTAAGACGGAGGGACATCGGATAAATTCCTGCCCCAAGCGTATGACCCGAAAGCAGCAATAAAAGGACTGGGCGAAAATTGGTCGAATGGATACAGGTTCGAATTAAATTTGAAGTGACAAAAGGTCGAATGCACAAGGTTGAAATGGACAAAAGTTCAAAAGGTTAAATTATTTTTATTGTTATTGTTATTGTGTCATGCTGGAGGGGGCATTGAGCCTGGTCGCCAGTGCAATCAGATAGATAAAGATGAGATGGCTCTTAGATAATGACTTATGCGAGTCGATTGAAATCAGCCGAATATTGAATGAGGGTTTAGGTGATCCTTAACATAGAAGCGTAGATGCATAGATGAAGGATAAGAGAAAGGAGAGAAAAAGGTATTGAAAAACAGAATTGGTAGAGAATGAGTGCTGATGAATATGCATTTATGTTTCATTTAGTTATAATAATTATCAATAATACTTATTGTATTATTGTATTGTATATAATCTAGTTATGATTATTGTCAATAATACTTACATTTCGATAAAGATGGTGCTGCCTACTTTACCTGTTATGTGATACTTATCATCACAGAGTCCAACCTTGAATAGCAGACCAGGTCCACTAACAAAACACTCGTTCCGAGAAGGGGTTTATGGTCTTCTTCTTCTTCTTCAGGTTCGCTCACCACCCGGAATGAAGGCTCGGTGCGGTTAGTAATATCAAACAGTGTTACATGCAAACGAAAAAACGAAAAAGAGATACAACCAGGATTAGTTTTTTAAAGTAATAGTTTCATCTGAATACCCAACTAACCATATCTCAGTGACATTGTACCACTCTGAACCCACACCTAAAGCTATTTTGTGATTATATGGTTACTTTGGTATTCAGATGAAATGTTGTGCAAGTACCAGAAGTTCAACAACGCCCAACTATGGACAGCTCAATGTTAATACCATTTACTCTTTGAATCAGCTTACACCAACATGATAATCTACTAAGAAACATCTAAGAATGTATAGAGATAAAGTTCAAAAATACAGTTTTAACTGATGGTACTTTATAAACGTCAAACTGTCCAATATTGGACCCTGCCAACACACGGCGCCTGCACGGCAATGTGGGCCGTCAGAATGGTTCATCGGTTGCGAAGTGAAGTGCTTCTTAAACTGAAGCGATACATTTCTCAATGTTTCAACGTTATCCTAACGTAAACTTAATATTATCGCCCATATGCCTGTCCACGCCCGAAACCCATCCACCACACAAAATCAAATAAAAATGTTTCTGTATGGCAAACACGTCCAGACATAAACGAGAATATGTGTGTATATCTTCACTGTAACAACTACGGGTAATCATCGAAAATACTTGCATTTTACTCAGGCACTTTTGAGCAAACTGCAATCACTCTCTCATACTCGAAATGTGCCACGACCAAATTGGCACAACGACGCCCTATACGCTCTCTGACCAAAGCGCAGGGTCAAAAGGTTAAATTATTTTTATTGGATAAAAAAAAGTCGGTAAGACAATATGCTGATTAAAGTAAGTAAATCAAGCGTAGACTTTGAGCAACCTGACTGAAAAACTCGAAAGTTATGTCTGTCTTTTGGAGATAATTCCTTTTTTAAAGCATGAGCAGTTCTTTGGCAGATACAAGCTATTGAATAATCAAGCTGCAAATGCTCGATAATTATTTCTCAATTTTGAATTTGACTCCTTCTTTTGTAACATGAGCAGTTCTTTGCCAGATAATACCTATCATCATAGTACCAATTTCTGCTCATTCAAAGTTAAAAATAGCAGGAAAAGCCCAAAATTGTATTTGTTTCATGTTTTTCATCATTCGTTAGGATACACACTTAGAAATGATTACTGGCTTCGGTAATGTTTACCGAACTTTCGATTTCATTCGTTTAAATATGGATAACTTCACCACAATGGTAATACCACCGGTTGGAAACTAACGATTTAAAATTGTCTCACTACTTGACCAGTCTATTGGTCCCAAGTACATCTATAAGCGTACAATTCTAGTCGAAATTCTACTACTACCTACCCTATGTTTGTTTTGATTCGCTATGAAAGTTTGAAAGATAAAATGAGGGGTTCGTGGATTTTCCTATGTTTCGAGGGGTGCATCGATTAGCTTGGGACCAAAGAGAGTACCAGAGCTGAGCCGAAAAGTTGAGCACGTTTCTTCACGACCTTTTGGTCTTAGATTTACCTCTATGGTAATACCATAGAGGTAACTCTAATACCAACAATTAATACGAAACTAACAATTTTAAATTGGCTCACTACTTGACTAGCCTATTGGTCCCAAGCAAATCGATTAACGTATCCCATTCTAGTCAAAATTCTAGTACTACACAATGTTTGTTTTGATTAGCTATGAAAGTTTGACAAATAAAATGAGGGGCTAGTGGATTTTCCTATGTTTCGAGGGGTGAATCGATTAGCTTTGGACCGAAGATAGTACCAGAGCTGAGCCAAAAAGTTAAGCACGTTTCTTCGGGACGTACTAGTCTTAGAGTTACCTCTATGGTAGTCACTTCGACTCTCGGAATAATCCCCATATTATAATCCGATTAATTATACAGGAACTGAGAAATATTTACTCAGTTCCGCTAATTTTCTTAAAACCAGAACTGAGTAGAATTTACTCTAAATTTGACAGATGCACCCATTACTCAAAAGTAAGGAACTAAGTGTTTACTCACTTTAGCGTTGTTCCACTTTTACCTAAAGTGAGTAGAATTCTACTCACTTTAGAGTAAAAATTAAATGAGCGTGTATACATTTTTCTTTCGACATTTTGTCATACTCAACAAGTCAACACAAAATTCAAATAAATCTTTCAGTTAAGTCGGAAATACTTTATTTCAGTGATCAAATTTTAAATTAAAAATCAGTTTTCAGTACAATTTGATTCGAAAAAAAGGGTTAAGCCAGCGGCTCAGCCGTAAAAATCACTAATAATCAATTTATCTATCGATATTGGTTCGCTAGCTTCAATTCTATGCAAGTTAGGTTTTTCTCTAGAATCCGATTTTTCATAGATTATGATATATTTTTTTACAACAGCTCTCATCTATTTTCTTCAACAAGTGCCTTTAATCGGTACGGGAGGAGACAAAAATATATACAGAAAATTGTTCACTTCTCCTATTTATCGGTGTCGTAGCTAGAGCACTAATTCTTATAATATATTATACACAGTTACATTGAAATATTTCGTTAAGATTTTCTAAGTAAGTTGCACTCACTTGCATCAATATTCTGTTTAGTATTCGGTTATTGTATAGATTCTTCCTGTGGGGGTGACATAGATATTTAACACAACATGGGTTTGTATGCACAGCAACTAAACAGGATTGGAAAACCTACTAAAGCAAGTAACATTTAAAACTAAGCTTGTAAAGTTTTGAAGTATCGATCCAGGTAAAAAAGTGGCCAAGGAACAACAATATAGCTCTGTAGCAAAACTTTCTGTCACATCTGTCCACGTAGCAAACTTTGTTTGGTATCGATACCGTTGTGGGACAATGTTCCATCTACTCCAGTCCAATATATTAAATCTAATCTTGCTTCGGTTGCTGCTTAGTTTTAGTTCTCCTTGATGTAGTTGCTGTCGAAGATCTCCAGCTCGCGTTGGATGAAGCTGGCCTTGTTACTCAGCACTTTGATCTGCTTCTGGTTAGACTCGATAACGCCCAGCGAGGTTTCGATGTCCTTCAGCTCAGTGTTCATCTCGGTTGTGGCAGTGTCCACCACGCGGCACAAACGGGCAAAGGTGCTGGATAGCTCCCTGTGTGGTGCGGACAAGAATTGTGTGAAATTAGTGATAATGAAATGTGGTAAGCAGGGTGTAGTTAGAACTTACTGTTGCACCTGATGGCTGCAGTTAGCCGAGGTCAGATCAACGATCAACTTCAGTTTTCGCGTAGCGTGCTGCACGTATTGGGTCTTGAAGTTCTTCTCCTTGGCGGCGTTGGTCCATGATAGGCGCTCGTAGAGGTACACGCTACCGTACAGGATACCGGCGCCCACAATCACTCGCCAGCCGATCGTTTTCAGGAGCTAGAAGAGCGGATGTTATGTTTTACGGAAGTAGTCGTGAATTTATGGTGATGAATTATGAACATTACATGTTGAAAATAGATATCAACTTTAGAAATAACCTACCACTCCTGCCACCAGCAGTCCCAGCGTGCCCTGCGATCCAATCGAAGCTATCGCCACCTTTGATATCACCGATAGCTGCTCCTCTGTGATTAGCTCGTTCTCCGGCATAAGACACATCGGTGAAGTGGGTGACATAATTTGCGATACCTGATAAGATCATAGTATTGGAATCAAATTAAAAATATCCGTGAGCAAAACAATAAATAAAACCTTACATTCATATTACTACTCTGTCTGTTGTGCGTAATGGCTTTCTTGTTGTTAGGCCGCATTTTGCCATTGAATCGCGCAATGAACGCCGTTATGCCCCAGGAGAATTGGAACTCGAGGTTCTCTTGGAAATCGGCACACAGGTTCTGACAGTTTAGCGAGTACAGCATTTCAAACGGCTGGTTCCTCGCAATGACGTGGTGGGTGTGGGTAATAATCTTCTCCGGAGGAATCAGAGATGTCATCCTGTCGGTCATCTCCCGCTGAGCTGTTTCAACATTCATAGCCAAAGCTGTGCTGAGCCGTGCCCTAAGATTTGATCCGAGACCACTTTCTACGTGGGCATTTATTTCCTTCTTGTAAACATTGAGTACCAGTTGATCCGCGTGGAAGGGCAGATTGAACTCATCAACCAGTACATTCAGTCGCCAAATCTCTTCATTCAGTGCCTTAGCTACCTTCTGTTCCACCTCTTCGACCATGTTGTGAATCTTCATCTTCATTTCGCGCGTCACCTGCATCAGCTGCGTTTCGGTGGTGGCAATCCGATCGGTTAGTTTCTTCTTCTGCTCGAGCTTCTGGTTGCGCAGAACGTTCGCCCGATCGTAGATATTGTCCAGCATGGTTCGCATCTCGTTGGAAATGCTCTTGCCCCGGGAGCTGTGCTGTTCGAACTTCGTGCGGACTGCGCTCTTCGAGATGCATTCCTCGAACTTCCGCTCGAAATCCTGGAACTCGAAGTAGCGATTCTGGAAACCATCAGCCAACGCACCGGCAATGGGTGGGAGTCCTTCCGCTTCCTTCAACCGGGCCTGCAACGTTTCGCGGGCTGACACGAAGAAAACGCGTTCTTCGGCTTCCTTCCCGGAGGCAACCTTCAATTCCTTTACGAGAAAATCGACGCATCGCTCCTGGTGCTGTGCTTTGACCTAAAAGTAGGATTAGAAACAGTGGTACTACAGTGGACTGAAGGTGTACAAAAAAGTATTTTTGTTACGACTGAAAGCGAAGGAGTGCCTTCCACTAAAGTTAACACACATCCATATTAGTACAGGCAGTTGTACGACATTTCCTCCAGCAAAATTCTTAGTAGATTTTTTTCACTGGATTATGAAAATCGTTACGAGTTACTATTCCTCGAGATGTAATTCTTAAGATTTTGAAAAAAAGTTGCCCCTTTGTATCATGAGCAGGCATGACGTTAATCGAGGAAACGTCATACAACTCAATCAAAACTGAATAAAATGTGCAAAAAAGAAGAAGAAGGAGAAGAAGCAGATAGGACAGTCATCGGCAGCGGAAGCGAAAGTCATTGGACAAACTTGCTCCATTACCTTATCCAGGTCCTTCTGGTAAATGATAAAAATGGGTTCGAATTGGAAGAGAAAGAAACAAATGGAAGAAGAATAAGAAGGATAATGATACAGCCGTCTGATCATAATCACCTCCCGCGTCAGCTGATTCAACTTACCGATTCTTGAGACTCTGGTTCCGATGCGGACGCATCCCAACGGTTGTTCAACACGAAAATGTTCGGTTTCGATAAGCGGGTAGACACCTGGTGAAAGAAGGACTTTTCCTGCAAAACAGAACAAATTCCGCGTTCGTAAATTGTTCAACACTCGAGTGCAGCAATTAGTGAACTTACCGCCAAGGTCATTGTGGATTCAGCGTTCAGCACCAGCACAAACACATCGGCATTCAAGCAGAAATTGTCGATCCAGTCGTTCAGGTTCGGCGACACATCCACACCGGGCGAATCGACAAACACCACATCGTCCCTCAGCAGGCTGCACCGTTTGCGGGGCCAAAATATTCGTATCATCGAGCTTTCCGAGAGCTTGTCCTGGCAGAGTGCGTTGGCGAGTTGTTTGATCGACTGCAAGTCACAAAAATAGTAATTAGTCAAAGCTATGGCATTTAACAAATTCCACACCACTCACCGTAACATTCAGCTTCTCATCGCAGCCTTCCTTCACCAGATACGCCTCGTCGCCGTCTATGCCCTCGACCTGGCAGAAGCAATGGGTCGTATGACCGATACCACTCGGCAGAATTTTGTCCCGCAGCATAGCGTTGATCACCGAGCTTTTCCCGTTCGAGGTACGCCCAAAAAAGGCCACCTTCATGTGATCTCGGGCCAGCACCTCCCGAATGCCGGATACCTTCAATACATAGCTTTTGAACATTTCCGATTCGGCTTTGTCCACGATTTCCACCACCTTCGGGAGGTCTGTAATTTTTGATAACAGGAAAGAATTAAAATATTTCAGTATGTGTTGACGGGACAACATTTTACGACGAATGCGCTCGCTTGGCTTGAAAATTTATTTACTTCCTAATGCACCATTGAGCTACATGCAGATGAGGTGTAGCCAAACTGTAATTAGATCATAGACAACTCCTGGAAAGGGAATTATGAGCTGAACTATTCAAAATTCAATATAGATCTTATCCATGTGAACAAGTTTGCTGAAAACTACAACCTGCTCTATCTATTCGAGGAGTTAGAAGTCAAACTGAACTAATCCACCATCCAAAGGTTCTTGTTCGTCTGAACAACTATGCCAAAGACAGCAACCTTATGTTTAGTCGAACCGTCAAGTTAATGCAAGCAACTAGATGTCAAAAGATACACCTTCGCCGCCTGGTGAGGAAATCTTGAACTAAACACTGTTCATCATTCAATAGGTTTTGTCCATCTGAACAATGCCAAAATAGCTAGGCTCTTGGACTTTCCTGTCCCAAGCGAAAGGATGGGCAGGAAGAAAGGAAAACAACAGAGCAGTACGTACGCTAGTGTAGCGGCTGTAAGTGCTTTGTACAGCAACAATCAGAAGGAAGTAATGGACGTGGCAACTCCGGAGACCAGAGCCCAACCAACAATCAATACGAAACTAACGATTTTAAATTGGCTCACTACTTGACTAGCCTATTGGTCCTAAGCAAACGATTAACGTACCCCATTCTAGTCGAAATTCTAGTACTACACTATGTTTGTTTTGATTCGCTATGAAAGTTTGACAGATAAAATGAGGGGTTCGTGGATTTTCCTATGCTACGAGGGGTGCATCGATTAGCTTGGGACCGAAGAGAGTACCAGAGCTGAGCCAAAAAGTTGAGCACATTTCTTCGGGACCTTCTAGTCTTAGAGTTACCTCTATGGCCCAACAGGTGGAGCCCGAACTGACAGAATAACATTGGGCGGATCTTGCAGCGCACGTTTCTGACAGAATAACTAATGACATTTAACTGGCAATTTCAGGTCATTTTAAGAAGTATTTCATGAACATTTTAAGGAAAACTAAGGGTGAATCCTAAACTAGTTTTGAAGAGACTATTATGGGGATTGTGAGTAGACATCCATAGAGTTCTAAATAAAATTCAGAGTAATTGGATTGCAATCATTTTCCTAGCGTTATTCCACATCAAGACATTGAAGAGAGCAGTCATATTTTTATCGTTAATAAAACTTGTTTATTGTTACGAGTTGTCCTGCTTGTTTCCTGTACGCCCCATTAGCACTAAAGAGGCTGAATCTAGAACTTAGCCAATTCAGTCTGTTTATTCCGCACCATATTCCTTCAGGTTATGGACTCTGCTTCGAAGGAAGGTTCTGGAATTCCGCAGTTGAATGGAACACATTTCGAGAATTGGCGTTTTCGAGTTCTTTGGATGCGGCGGAAGTTTCCGAAGCGCTTACGGGACAAGTTCCTGGTGCAACGGATCCTGGAAAAGCGAAGTTTATGCAGACAGATCGGAAAGCGAAGTCGTTGCTGGTCGGATTCCTTTCTCATGAGTGTCTTGGCATAAAACGGGACAAGGAGACGGCTCGCGATATGTGGAAGGCTCGCTCTACGCGAAGAAGTCTGTGGCAAGCCAAACCCTGTTACGAAAGCAGTTGGCAAGACTTCGAATGAAGTAAGGTATTTCAATGCGGCATCACTTTCAACAGTTCGCCAACATCATACGGCAACTCAAGACCGCTGGTGCTAAATTGAAGGAGAACGATACGGTATCCCAGTTATTTTTTACCCTTTCCCACAGCTACTACTCCATGGCAACAGCTTTAGAGAACATCAACTAAAAGGACATGAGGTTGGAAACCGTGAAGCAACAATTCAGTGCCAACATTTCAAAGGAACGCAATTGCATTTGTAAACAATGGATTTAGCCGTCGATTGCTCGCGAATCAAAGCTCATTCATGAAAAATAATGACACCAGCAGGTAGAGGAATGTTTCCTCTACCAGCTAGCATTGTAATTTTGGAGAGGTAAGATTTCATTCGCGAGAAATTGACGGCTAAAGTCATTGTTTACAAAAGCAATTACGCCCCTTTGAAATGTTGGCACTGAATTGTTGGCGAAGGAATCCAAATGGTCTGATGGGATGGAAGGTTCTTATGAAGATAGGAGTGTAGCGTTTGTCGGACGAAGAAATAAGAAGCCCAAAAAAGCTGGGAAACGCCATCGTTGCGGAAAGGTGGGACATATGCAAAAAGATTGCCACGTTAAGAAGCCAGAAGGTAAGGTGAATGCAGCCGTTAACAGCAAGTCTGTTTCGTTCATGGTGAACAAGATGTCGACAAAGACAGAACACACAAAGTCCGTATTCGTTGTGGATTCTGGATGTAGCGACCATCTGGTGAACAGCTTGGAATGCATGTAGTCGGTGAGGAAGCTCACACAACCGTTCGTGATCTATGTGGCCAAAGATGTTGTTACGATTATTGGAAACTACGAAGGTGAAATTACTGGACTATCAAGAGAAGGTGTGCGGATTGAATTGAAGAATGCAATATTCGTGTAAATGTGTCTCAAGCGGGAATCGACGTACTGTTCACAAGTCGTGATGGAAAGCATCAAGCAATTATAAAGAAGGATGACGCGGTTATTGGGAGTAGCGCATCTACGAGGTAATTTATATGAACTGAATTTGATTTGGACATGAAAGAAGCTACCGCAAATCTATGCGCATCGGACACTGGAAACCTCTGGTTACGCCAGTCAGACCACGATGAACACGTTGGTTCAGTACAATATGGTAGAAGGATTCGGTCCGAAGGTGAATGCTGTCGAATTCTATGAGACTTGCGTACTTTGCAAGCAGTGTAGAGAACCTTTCGATGGAACTCGTGAAAAAGCTAGTCGTCTACTTGAGCGAATCCACTCGAATGTGTGTGGACCAATCGATCCTCCGATCTGGAACGGATCAAAGTATTTTGTGTCATTTTTTGACGATTATATGACTATGCGTGTGTCTACGTGATCAAGAAGAAGTCTGAAGTTTTTGATCGTTTTCAAGAATATGAAGCGATGGTGACTGCCCAGTTTGAAAAACGAATCAGCAAGTTTACCGTGGATCAAGGACGTGAGTACTGCTCGAAGGAACAAGAAGCATACTATAAGAGAAAGGGGACTCAAATCCAGCCAACTGTAGCCTATTCTCCGCAACAGAACGGGGTTGCCGAAAGGTTCAATCGAGAAGGTAAGAACAACGCTGATTAACTGGAATATGCCCCAAGTACATGTGGTCATAAGCAGAATCGTTGCCCTCTATTGCTCTATCGGACAACACCGTACGCCTGCTGAGTATTGGACCGGTGTGAAACCTGATCTTTCGAAGCTGAGAATTTTCGGATGCAAAGCATTTGCATAGGTGTCAGGTCAACTCCGGAAGAAACTGGACTATAAGATTCGCGAGGCGGTGATGGTAGGCTATGCTATGAATACCGCTTTTGGGATAGATCGTCAAGAAAAAACCTCGTAGCCTGTGACATCAAATTTAACGAGAATTCATCACCATACGCAATTGAAGACAGTCAAGACTCGAAGGTACCGTTGGTGATTCCGATGGTATATCTGGACTGCGTAGATGACCAGCAAACTGACTTCCAGGACGCGATGTATGTTTCAAACAATGGCGAAGATGAGATTGAACTGGAAGAACAACAAAACAACCAGCAAGATGAATTCGAAGACGCGATGCCTGTTTCACTTGATGACGAAGAAGACGTTGAACTGGCAGAACCACCTGAGGAACAACTTGAGAATCCTGGGACGCTCCGTTCACATTCAAGAGTCAAACGACTCAAACACTAGGCGCGGTGAACGGGAGCGCAGACTCCCAGATTCCTCGGAGTCCTACGGTGAAATCAGGGCGCAGAATGACCGACAATTGTGGCTGGATGCAGTTGATGAAGAACTAAAATCCCTGAAGGCCAACAAGGTATGGCAACTGGTGCCGTGTCAAACCCTTGCAGTCGAAGTAGATCTTCCGTATGAAAGAAGATGAAGAAGGAAACCCTGTGCACTATAAATCAAGATTGGTTGTCAAAGGTTTCTTGCAGAAAGCCGGTTTGGACTACAACGAAACTTATTATTATTATTTAGCTTTATTAAGGAGGCTTTCAGCCTTAGGCTGGTTCGCCTCCAACCACAACGAAACTTATGCACCTGTTTCGAAGCTAACAACAATCCGTATTGTGCTGGCTGTCGGTGTTCAAAAAGAGTTGCAATTTCCACTAAATGGATGTGAAGACGGCGTTTCACGGTGAGCTCCAAGAGCAAATATTCATGGCGGTTCCGGACGGCGGCAAGGCGGGAGCTGGCACGGTGTGCCAATTGAAGATAATTCTATATGGTCTGAAGCAATCCGCTGCTGGAACGAGAAGTTCAATCAAGTGCTGCTGAAGTTAGGTTTTATTCGTTCCAAGTACGATTATTGCCTATACTCCCGTACCGACGAGAGGGAGAAAGATGCTATTTTCATCGTACTATATGTGCATGATCTTCTCAAAGCGATGAATGAACGAGGAATGAAGCTGTCAACAATCCGACTGTGGAGAATGGTATGAAGATACAAGACGGAAATATGATGCTGTCTCAAGAAGCTAGTCTAGAAAAGATCTTCCCGAAGTTTGGCATGTTGGAATGCAACCCTCCAAGGACCTCAATCGAAAAATGATTGCAGCATGATCGTCAAGTTTCCGAAGTACCGTATCGTGAACTACTGGGAACCTTGATGTATGTGATGGTATCCACGCGATCAGACATTTGCTATCCTGTCGGATACCTGGGAAGATTCCAAGAACAACCCGGACAGTAGGGCATTACTTGAAAGGGACGTTGGATTATTGCTTGACTATAACCCGAGACGTTCAAGCAAAACCACTAGTTGGATTCACGCACTCACGGATGAAGACTTGGCTACCGATACCGAGGACAGGAAGCCAGTGAGCGGATTTGTCTTCCAGGTGTTTGGATCGAATATTGTCTGGTCCAGTAAAAAACAAACGGTGGTGGCCACCAGGGTTGCTTCCACTCACTTGCTATAAAAAAATATTTTTCGGACTTATGCAATCATTAGATGTTATAATGATAAGTTGTACATGTAAGTAACAAGAAGAGATTGTAAGGTATGTGTTTGATTTATAAAACCTGTCAATTTCGCTTCCAGAGTGTCACAATTAGCGATCTTATGATTCGTGAGCGTTCACTCAGAGTGAGTGCTCACGAGTCGTAAAATCGCTGATTGTGAAGCACTGAAAGCAATATTGACAGATTTTATATGTCAAACATATACTGCAAGACCTCTTCTTGTAACTTGCGTGTACTAATTAGCATTATACTATTTCATGATTTCATAATTCCAAAAAACATTTTTTTTATAGAAAGTGAGTGGAAGTAACCCTGGTGGCCACTTCATCAAGCGAAGCAGAGTATGTGGCGTTAAGCATTAAGCGGAAGCTATATGGTTGACTGGTGTTCTAGGCGATTTGGGTGAAAATAAGATCGAGCCGATAGCCATATATGAAGAGAATCATGGATGAATCGGCATGGCTAAGAATTGGTAGAGATGACGATGAGAATGTCCACATGGATGATTCGTTCATGGATCCCAACGAGATGCTAGACGATGATATGTTTTGTCTTCTGTCGCACGATGATGAGATTGGTCTAGATGACTATATCTCCGGCAGAGAGATGAATATTCTTATTCTTTCCACCGGTCTCACCAGTCTGTATCTGAGGGTACAGGACGGCGAAATTATCTGTTGCGGATACCAAAATTTGTTTCTGTCAACAACCAATTTTTGACACGTCAGTGCGCGCAGGCGCAGAAATAGCGCAGTGATGCCAGGTACTTTAGGGATCATAAAAATTATGTACCATGGGTGCCGAACAGTGCCAACGAGTGTGCCGTGGTGTGCCTTACTATGTTTTTGGCACACTGTGCTGAGTGACCAACCCCTCGACTAAAAGCGAAGACATCATTGGTCTTCGCTAAAAGGCTCATTATAGCCATAATAAGTACGGAATGTCGATTCATCTGAACGACACTTCGTGCATATTAACGGGGTTCATTTTAATTTGAACTTCTAGTAACCCTATGACCACCAAAAAAGTGAATTTCTGGTAGCCTTATTTGCTGTTTTGTTTTCATTCTACGTTCCGTTTCGCATCGATCCATTTTACTTCTCACCATTCCATCTGCTAATGATTAGCGGAGTTCAAACTAAAAAGTGTTCCGATTAAAAACGGTCAGATTACCGGGGGTCCACGGTATACGAATAAATTGGTGAGAATGGAGGGATGACGAATATCAAAATTCAACTCACGTAACATTGCAGGACAATCTATGTGAGATTGAACAACATCCGAAAAAGCCTTAGTGACATTCCTACGAACCTCTAGAAGGTCATGGTTGATCTTCATATCTAGGGAGATTATATGGATAGCTTATACTTGCTGTATGCTGTTCTGATAGTAAGGAACCCAGACCACAACGGCATACTCCAATGTAGAGCGAACTAAGGAACAATACAGGGTCTACAGTGAATATCCGAGAATTCTTTGGCAGCACGAACAATTAGATCCAGGCATTTAGAAGCTTTGGAGGTTATGTATCCTACATGATCTTAAAAAGTAAGATTCGAATCTAAGAGAACACCTTAAAAGTAGATTCTCTCTTTAGAGATGTTCCGGCAAATGAAATGGTGTTTACGTCTAAAGGAAATTACTTAGCATTTGTTGGCATTCAAACTCATGCGATTATTTGCGCACCGTTTGGAAAAAAAAGGTCTTAATGAAGGAAATGTGCATCTTTTTGACATAATAGCGTTTGAAGTCATCGACATACGAGAGCTTAAACCGCTTAAAACATTTGAGCACTAGGTTGTCATCATTCAGGTACAGTAACAATTAGAAAGGTTAAATATGACTGCCCCGTGGAACACCAGATGTGACATGAATGGTTCTGATATACTATTATCACAGACAAATAGACATAACACTCGCAAGTTGTTCATCGGACAATAATTTAACAGTCAATTTAAAAGTATCGTAGTTGGTAGTACCGCTCCCTCTGGCGCGCATAGTCAATTCCCTTGCGTTTGACGTTTACACACTATCGTCATCTGTTCGGTGTAGTGCCCACCACAGTGTACTCAACAGATTGCGGTAATGTTTTACAGTGAGAAATATTCAATGTGTTATGTCTGTTTGTCTGTGGTATTTTCTCGGTATTACCAATTTTTGCCGACATTGAACGACCAACCAGAGATAATAGTTTCGCCAATCTAGCAACGAACCAGAGAAACCTAGACGTTCAAGCTTTGCTATTAAGATTTCATGGTTGATTTTATCGAAAGCAGCTGAAAAATCAGTATAGATTGCATCGACCTGCTTGTGAGCTTCTATAGCCTTGATAATAAAGGACGTATATGAATTGGTGCAGGTGGATCTCTTTGGCATGACCTCAGGTTGAGTCGCGGAAACGTAGTTGTGACAATGATGTTAGTATAGTCGTAGCACATGATGCAGCGATTTCTCTGTTATTTAAAACCTCTGGTTTATCACCCTTTTTGTGCACGGGAAAAACGAACGAATCTTCCATGTTTTAGGAAAAGATCCGGATGAGAGCAAGCGATTGATAATAGTAGCTAGAGGTTGCGAGATAGCAGAACTATACTCCTTCAAGGTGATAGATGGTATGCCGTTCGGACCGGGGTTACGAACATTTCAACCGAGCGCAAGCTGATTCAACAGTTTTATGTAATATCCATGGTTGAGGACCAATTGCAGAGCATGGAGGTACATTAGCTGCAGCATCATTCACCAGATGTGGGTCAAATGTTTCGTCGGTAAATACTGCTGAGAATTGTTCTTTCCGGACAGTTATGCCGGAAGAGAAGAAACTTTTTTATCGCCGAGCTTCATTTTTGAAGGTAGTCCACGGTCCTATTTCCTTCAGCTGTTCGTCGATATATGACAAGAAATTCTTAGGATTGTCTTTCAAATTTCGTTGATTCCGACGTAGATAAGTATGAAACCGTTTTTTTTTTGTTTAGCCGCTTGTATCTACTGTTGCAGGCAAGGTAATACGAGTTACGATTCTTGGAGAGTTTTTTAAGAGTCGATCTTTTTTACACATTAAAAGTATGATCAGAACATCTAATGATTTCATAATTCCGGAAAACATTTTTTTTTATCTGAAATGAGTATTTACAAACTTGGCGCTAGTCTGAAATTTGGGAAAATTGTGAGTCTCTAATTATATCATATAACATCAGATATTTATGTAGCGGAACATATTCATCGACTTATTGTGAAGAGCTATAAATAGAAAATTTAGGATAAGAGAGAAGCGGATTCAAAACAAACTGACCATCTCTAGGAAGATAATGGACGACAACATGTTTACCTACGGTGACTGGGTTATATGAAACATTGGAATCAAATCATACAAGGGGCGTCGACAAGACGATGGTATTTCTTGCCTCCAGTTCAACGATGCTTTAGAAGCTGTTATGCAACAAGCTGGCTTTAATATACGGGTTAAACATGTAGATGTCTAAGTAGAATTTTTAGAATCTTCCACATATTCCTGCCCTTTTTTGTCTTTTACAATGGGTAAGAGAAACCAGTATCCTACTACGCTTAGCAACTTCAACAAGTTATGATAAAACCCTGTACTCACCGTCAATGAATCCGGTGGTCTCGACCACATAGTCCTCGATTTCACCGAAGATGTCGTTGATCTTCTTCTTGGCACGGACGAATATCTGCAGCGGCGAGACATCGTTGTGACCGGTGGCGGCACCGCCGGCAGCATGCAGACCCCGGGGCGATGAGGTATTGGCGTCAAGCAGTGCCGCCGTGTCGTACGTGGAAGCCGACCCATTCGAGCCAGTCACCATCGACAGGGTACGGTTCAGATACGCGGCCATTCGTTTTGTTTTTATTAATGTTCACACGTATTTTCAAAAGTTTGTTTTCGTAGCAGTTTTTTTTTGGTTTGTTGTGTTTTTGAACCGCGAGCCGAAGATGTATTTTCCGCGAGATTACGCGATTCGATCGATTTGTTTTTCAAGTTTATGTTACGTTCGAATGGCGATGGCGACGAAAGGCATAATAGTAGTAGCAAAAAGAAGCTGATTAGAAAGATACTCGTGTGATTCGGCTTTGTTTCGAATATTTTCCTACAACAACACACAAAATTCAGAGAAAAAGGAAAGACACAAATTGGCTCAAAAACGTTTCTGAAAAAACTAATATTTTTTAAAATGCCTTGGTGTATGAACTAATTGCGATGGAATAATCTTTCTAGGCTGGGATACTGTGCACTATTAATCGATAACAAACAAAAAATACACTTTCTAGCGCCGTGCTCTCAGTTCATCCGGCAGTAATCTTCTGCTAATAGCGGTGCTTTCTTTTTTTCGGGCAACTCAAATAAATAACTGAAAGTAAACGCATGAAATAAGAAAACAATGATTAATTTATACGGGAAATGATTTCGCACGGACTGCACATTGGGACGGAACGGAAAGCTGTAGTTAGGTATGTGTCATGATGTAAGCTGAGTGTCTTTTTATCTGCAACAGAACAGAAATACAAAAAGCACTTCTTTTTACGGAGTAAAAAACAAGAATTACGTTTCAGAAATAAAACCAAAAATGCGACTGAAAAGATTCCTACTTGGATGAAAATAACACAAGAGACGACTGAGTTTTTTCGTTCTTCCTTTTCACGAACCTGCTTGGACTCGGACATAATCGAAAAAGCGTGAGAGTTCTGCTCGGCAATGTATCCTTTCCGTGCGCTAGTGCATTTTCACTGATCCGGACACGAACTGTTCCACCGGTACGATACGCTATCCACCAAAAGGGGCAGGTTTGCACGATTTGTTTCAACAAGAGAAAGGTTCCAACTTAATGCGAAATACAAGAGACGAAGCACTTTTTCCTCTGACAACATGCGTGATGTAACTTTTCACCATCAGCAGCCAGGATAGAAGATGGAATCGAAGGAAAACGAGAAAATGTCATGATGACATATCGGCAAAATTAGGGATGCTCATGTAAAATTAGGAAAAATTGAACTTAAAAGGCTAACCTCGCGCGAATCCAGGGGGCTATCCCTATATACGGAAACCGCAAAATACGCAAAAATGTCTGTAAAGGACATAATGGACTCAATGTTGACTATAAAGTATCCCTAATAAAAAGTTGGAAGGGTTGTATACTAGATACGACCGCAGGGTTGGCGTTGGATAACGTCTGTTATGTGTTGTACTTAATTGTGTATATTATATTTTAGGAATATTCCTTAATAACTCTTTTGCGAAAGTATGGTGGCCCTGAAAAGGGCCGTTTTGTTGGGCTCATGTTGTTGACAATGATGGAACGGGCGACCTTGTTGGACGCTTATATAGTAGAACAGAAAATATCATAGGTGTCAGATACTCGCATACGTACGTTAAACTCTTTCTTGATAATGTTGTGGCCCTGAAAAGGACCATTTTTCCAACGCGCTCGGCGTAGTTGCCCTTGCGCTAGCAGACGGTGAATACGACCCACTGAGAACTGCAGCAGCTGGGCATTCCATGACGGCGGCCCAGTATACCGGAGCACTGGCACCAACGCACTCGGCGTAGTTGCCCTTTCGCCCCCAGGCTCTGCTGCCGCTGCTCTGGTACTGCTGCTCTGCTGCTCTGCTGCTGGGTCGACGATCGGATAGACAATGATGGAACGGGCGACCTTGATGGACGCTTATATAGTAGAACAGAAAATATCAGAGGTGTCAGATACTCGCATCTGATGTCTCGGTTGGAGAAAAAAAATCAATCGATATTCACCATCTTTAGACAATGGTTTACTTTTAACCGTTTTTCAATAGTTTACAGAATGAAATCAAAAGTTTTGAAACATTCAGCAAATTGCTAGAAATATTTCCAATCGATTGATGCCACTATCTCGTAAATCTATCGAGAGACGGTTGAGTTATTATCGTTCAAAAGCGACCTTGATAGACGCTTATATAGTAGAACAGAAAATATCAGAGGTGTCAGATACTCGCATCTGATGTCTCGGTTGGAGAAAGTATAAGAATATAAAAAAATCAATCGATTTTCACCATCTTTAGACAATGGTTTACTTTTAACCGTTTTTCAATAGTTTACAGAATGAAATCAAAAGTTTTGAAACATTCAGCTAATTGCTAGAAATATTTCCAATCGATTGATGCCACTATCTCGTAAATCTATCGAGAGACGGTTGAGTTATTATCGTTCAAAATCTTTTAATTTTTCGTAACGCATCCAAAATGACTGTTTTCAAGACGAAAGACGTTATCCAACGTCAAAAATACCATAAACCTGGAGTAAAGGCCGGCGCACAATGCATACGTTTTCGGGTTTTTTGACAGATAATGCATGGGCTAACTGTCAAAAAACCTGAAAACGTATCTATTGTGCGCCGGCCTTAAGAATAAGAAATCTTTGGAAAAATTCTAATGTTCGATTGGCTCAGATTTTGACAGTTCATTTGGCTCAAAACATTCTCTCCGCCCATCTCTCCCTCCGCGTATTTCTAGGTAGCATGGTAGTTTTGCACACAAAACGTAATCCACAAAAAAAAAACATCGGGGGAGGTAGCTCATCGATTCTTCCGGTTCGCCTCCTAGCATCGTGCTATAAGGTACCAGGCGATAACCAGGGTAGTTGATCGATAGCTCGATGACGTCATTTCGTTGGCGTCTGCTATGGGAAATTCTCATAGCAGGCGTTGACGATGGGACGTTGTCGAGTTGTTGAATAGCAACTATCGTGCTAACTCACCGATTACCTGTCGATCTGCCAAATTTGGAAAGACGTCTGCATTGAATTGTCTCATATAATAATATTCCGCCCACTATATCACACGAAATTGCGAGTAGTTGAGTGGAATGGAGATAAGTTAAGCATTGCACAGGACCAAGTCTCCCCTGGGTGGTGCCAGCAGATGAGCGCAATAGAATCATCAAGTTGCCATAAGGCACGGAATGAGACTATTGCATGGCTGGGTAGTCAAAGTCTTCCATTCGTTAGTCATTTCAGGTGGATTAGAACAGGTTTAGGTTTAGGGTGGGCGTTGGCCAGATTTGGATTTTTCAGATATAATCCTAAATAGGACCTAGATTATTTAATACACTAGTAACCTCAACTTCTGTCACAATGTTTCATTGTGACTAATCAACACTCAATGGGTAAAATATCAAATTTGCGGTAAATTTGAAAAAAAGGGAACTTGGAGTGTAGAGTGCACTGCCCACTGGACGATTCTGAAGCCTGACCAAGTGAGTGGGTTACGGGTTTATTTGATTGTACGTCATTTCCAAGTTATATATAGATACATTCATACCATTGGCATTTTGTATTTGAGATAAGACAGAGACAGGATGCGGAGGGCCCGCTTAGGGGGAGCGTAACCCATGTTATGGCTTCCATTTATTAAATAGTTCAGATAGGCTGGAAATGATAGGTTCATGGTGAGAAAATGTACCATATGGTGCCCGTTCACTGATCAAAATTAGATTCAAATCGTCAGGCCCTGCCCTGGAATAAGGGAATTGACGATGATTTGTCAAGTTTCATTTTGCATTTGCATATAATTGTAAGTTTAGGTTTGCTTTTGTAATTGTAAGATAGATAGTTTGCCTCAATTGAAACATTGAGTTAAACATGACGAATCATACCTCTAAAATAGTAGTAGTTACAGTGCCGCATTATCTAACTTTTGTTTTGTTTGTTTACATATAACTAATACTAATACCTCCTTGTTTTCTCTCTAATTTGTCTACTATGTCCCACCATCACGATGAGAGATGAGCTACCGTACATGGTACACGCTCATATACACTCCCAAAATAGTATGCCGCAAGTAAGTATATCACAGAGGCAACTAAAGATCCAGAAACAAAAACCGAAAACGCTGAACGGCAGATTGGTTTACAGTGGTCGACCAGGGTGTGTGCTGATAAATTACAAAATTACAATTAGGGTAGATGTACCAGTTATGGCTGTGCGTTCCTGTTGTGGTGTGTTCCAATCATGGCCTATGGAAATCCTATATGCCATAATTGGAGCACATCATAATAGGAGCGTATAGCCATAACTGGTACATCTACCCTACATCATTATTCCATACATCAGCTTGAATTACGTTGATCGATATTACATTTTTTTTGCTGTGCACTACACCACCGGAGCCAGCAAAGTTCAACAATCCATCGTTGCTTATGCCTTTGTTGTCGTTTGGAACCAGTTTTGCGAGGTAGGTGACGATTGTGCGTATTTCTCGCGTAAATTTTGAAAAGGGCCTAGCCTGAACAATACGTAAAGAGCAAATTGAAACATTGTACGTCGCGTGAAAGTGGAACTTAATGAAGGCCTAAGTACTTTTTCGTAGTTTTTAGTTTTCGGATTTGAAAGATCGTCGGTTACAGTGGCCTGCTTACTGAGCAGAAAAACGCGGTCCCAGGTCCTTACATATCAAAGAGATTTATAGTAAAATCGCTTGTGTATCGTGTATTTTGCGAAACTCGTTGTTGTCGTTGGTTCCGGGTTTGAATGGATACAAAAATTAGAGCAACTGTATTATGTGATATGAGGGGCTCGGTGGCCTTAGAGCAACCGTTTTTGCTTACTGAGCAGAACATCATGAGTCTAATCTCAGGCCCATCCACAATCAAGATTCGTCAATCGTTTTATTTGTTAATATGACTACATGGTAATAACAGCAACTCGGTGATTAAAAAGGTGCTCGTCTGCCTAGTGGCAAACGTTTTTGCTTACTGAGCAGAAGACCGTGGGTTTAGTCCCAAGCTCCTTCGCGTTATATGATCGTTAGGACATTAATTCAGCTTATCGTTTACCAAAACGAACCCTGCTGCAAACCCAACCCTCTTATCCAACATCCCAGTGATTCCTCGTGGAAGTGCAGAGGTGTTCTCGGCTTCCATCAAAGCGAGTGTCATTTCAACACAATCCTTCCCATTCCTTTCTTGACCTGTGTTCGGGCGCGGCCGGCGCTGGTATTGCCTAATTCAAGATCACCAGTTTTTACACATTGAGGATGATTGCTAGTCCCAAGCATCGTCTATTGGTTCTCTGTGTAATTACAGCTGATCTGGCAATAACAGAGTAGCAACCGTGGGCGGTCAATCAAGCTCAAGCTCAAGCTCAAGCTCAAAACGTAATCCACAAAAAAAAAACATCGGTGTGGAGATTTTGATTTTACTATAAAAGGGTTGGTTAAAAGACATCGAATGGTGGTAGATGGCAGATTCTATACACACAAAAAATTATCGTTAATTAAATTGAAAAAACCATTGGTAGAATTAAAAGTTTGCGTTGGTTCTTGTTGGTACACGGATAGAAATCTCCTTATACCTTTTGGCAAATTTCTATTGCTAATTATTCATAAAATGTATAAGTCAACTAATAAGCAGACGCCGTGCAAAAAGTTAATGAAGATCATGTGTCAAATGAAATGTATAAGCGGTCACACATACCTTTTATGCATTCTTATAGGACCTATGTGGTTTGTCTTATGGAATGTATAAGGCTGATGTTTTGGCAAACATGTATAAGTTAAACACATGAATTAAATAATTGATTTTCGTTTCGTGTAGAAAGTCTTTAGCATTCAAAACAAAAGTCAGCCAACTGTCAATTCAAAAACAACTCAATTTTTACTTTTAATAGTAGAAACTTTCAAATCAAATTGTAGAACTGTAAATATAAAAACCCATGTTTTTAAATAGACTCACGAAAGCATTTAATTTAAAATATGGGCATTTTTAACGCAACGATGTATGTTTTCATTTCAAATATGAATTATTTTTTAATTCGACTGCTATATGCTTTGAAGAAAATAACAATAGAAATATTTTATTTAATATATATTCGTTTATTTATATTTTTGATGATGACTGAAAGGGCACTGCATTGTGGAATCTACCATGA